TGTCAGAGGGGGCTGTGAAGGTATTGATTTGTTTCAGATTAAAAAAGAAACAATTAAGGTTTAGAGATATTCTACAATTCTCCTTAGATCACATAGCCAATTCATGCTACACATTCTGGCATATGCTATTGATGAGTATCAAATGATGTAGACACACATATAAGAAATTTGTTAATTTATGACATCCGTGGTTCACATGAAGTTAGGGAAATTTTGTTGTGCCTCAGGTTTTGTGCAGAAGAAACGAGGCTGTAGTATATTATAGGTGGAGATTTTCTCTCGAGAGCTTTTTGCCTTTTTGATGCAGTTAGAATTTTAGGTGAAATTCAACATGGTTATGAGGCCTTAATGCTCATGGGGAAAATTAAAGATTTTAATGTAAAAAGTGCAAAAGAAGCAAGTCATTCAAATTAGCCTCTAGTTTATCTGCTTAAATTGAACCCATGTATTTAAGTCATTATTATGTACTTGAGCTTTTTCTTCCACTTAGAATATATATGTAAATCTATTTTTTACACTTTCCAAAAAAGTATTGTTTCTCTTTGGTGAGGTAAATTCAGTATGTGGATTGGAGTCTGAATTATTTTGTTTTCTTTCTTGTTTTGAAAGAAAAGGCAGCGATTTAATTGTGGGCTTGGTTTGACATACTTTGTTCCTTGAATATTTGGGAAATGAATGTCATTCCCTGCTACTCTTTTGCTGTTTCCTGATACTCTGAAGAAGCCTGGTGACTCATAGTCATGTTTTCATGGCAGGTCTTGTGTGCCTTTTTGAGGATAAAAGCATCCTTCTGGGTGGGAAGTGAGCTTTATTTTACTTTAGTGCCTCTTAAATTTTTCYGTGCTAGGACTCTTGAAGAGCAGAGCAGACAGAAAGCTGGAGATGTCTGGGAAGTTCTGCTTCTCATGTGTACAGTTTTTTTTTTTTTATTCTTCTTCAAAACAGGTGTCTCAATGGCTGCAAAATCAGGGTTTCTATTCCAGTTTGCTTGTCTCTACCTCACTACCTTCATGTGACAGAGAGATGTAAGTTTATTTTGTGGCTCTATGTACTCCAGAAAAACCATAGAGCTTCCCCAGGTTGTACACTTACCCAGTTTGAGAAATGTGGCCTTGAGTGATTTACACTTTCCTAATTTTACCTTTTAGGATTTTAGGCTTCAGATTGGTTTGGGTCTGGATTTGTCTGGGGAAATCACATGTCTAATTTTAGATAGGATTCTGTCTAAATTATGAGCTATCTGATGAGAAAGGTGATTCTGAACCTTGGCTTCTCTCTCTGAGTACCATTTCTTCTCTTTGAATCTTTTGGGATTTCATTGTCGAACCATCCTCTTGGTTCTGAATCTTTCTAGCTTGGTTTCTTTTCTGTCATGTTTCTTTCTGTAAGTGCCTTTATTGCTTTTCTGCTCATCAAATCTATTGGGACTTTTCATTGTTGTTAAATTTCAGCCTAACATGTTGGCATTTCTGCTACTGGTAGTGACTCATTTCATCAAGCAGTTGAGGCTAACTTATGCTGTGGTCAAAACATCTCAGTGGCTTTCCTTGTAGGTGCTTTTTCTCACATATGAAAATGTGAACAGCAGTTGTGCTGCACAAATCCCTTTCTTGGGAATTCAGGTCAGAGAAGCAGTCCCTGTCTGAAACATTACAGGATTCATGGTAGAGGGAAAATAAATTGCAAGACCATGTGATGAATCTTATGGCTTCAGCTTGGAAATAGAACATGTCATTTTTACCCTTATGTCTTGGGTCATGGGAATCCCTACAACCTAGTCTGATGTTTCTGAGATAGGAAGTATAATATTCTTCCCAAAACAGGTCTGGTAGGGAGATGTAGTATAGATTGACAATAGTAAAATCTTCCAAATCTGATTTGCTTTCAGTATTTCACATACAGTAATCTGGGATGCATTTCAAAACCCCCAATGGATGCCTGAAACCACAGATAGTACTGAACCCAATGAGTTCTGTTTTTTCTTAAATGTATACACACTTAGGATAAGTTTAATTTTATAAATTAGGTACAGCAGGAAATTGACAACAATAGCCTACAACCTCAGCATATGATTTCCTTCTTTCCTTAAGAAGATAACTTATACTTTCCTCTTGAAGCATTTTTTTGGTTTCTCTTTGGCGTATCCCAGTTACATTACTTTGCTTGTGCTTTGAGGCCATTTATAAACAAAATAGGGGTTACTTGAACAAAAGGGCTGCAAAACAGTGACAATTGATACAATATATGAGATACTTACTAAGTGACGAATGGGTGGGTAGTATTACAGAGCAGATACACTGGACAATGGGAAGATTTGTGTGCCTGGGCAAGATAGAAAGGACAGCATGAGATTTTATCATACTATTGAGAAAGGCACATAATTTAAAATTTGTGAATTTTTTTTTTGAATTTCTAATTATTGGACCATGGTACTACTGGTAATTGAACCTGGAGAAAGTAAAACTTCAGATAAGTGGGGAGGGGGTGTAATCAGAACCTGACACCATACCTGTCATATCTTGGATACTCAGTAGGGGAAAGACACCTCTTTCTTTCTAAAATTTTTTCTTGGTTGTACTGAGGATTCCAAGTGTTAGTTCTCTATATCCTTTTCATCCTTTTCATCCATCTTTTATGTTTTATCTGTGTTTATCAGTAGTGTGTTCTCATCCTAGACTAGTAAGTTTTCTACCATAATTTGCTGTTTTAGAAATCCACCATGATTTGTTTCTTTTTTCCTCTAAATTATGGCAGTTTGCTTTCACACTAGATTTCTAAATGCTTAGCAAGGTGAGGGGCACTTAGAGTTTTGATATTAAACCATATTKGGCTACTAGAAAGTGAGTTTGTTGTGTAGAAATTTGGTGATTTCTGTTTTTATATTTTAAATAGAACTATTTTGGTTGAAATTCATGTGTGCCACCAAATGAATTAACCCTAAGCTTTTCTCTGCTATACTGAGTTTACAGATCTGCAAAAATAGCAGGAGCTTTACTCAGATACAGACAACCCTACCTGAACTTTACACAGATTTCATAAAAATAATGTCACTATGCTTGAACTCTGCAAGTGCTCTATTGAATGTGCTTGGAGTCAAGCATAGTCTTAAGGCAAACACTTCCCTTCAGTTTCTTTGTATTAGTTAACATCTATTATTAAGCATGAAGGACATTTTGCCATTGCTTTGTACCCCAAAACACTTTGGCTGTCACAGAGCTAAATGTCATCTGTTTTCCAATGCTTTTTTTAAAAAAATATTTTTTTATTCTAAGCTATTTTAGTTCTCCTACTAGATTATAATTTATTGGGGAAGCAGGATACTACTACAACACACATTTTGTGAAAATATTAATAACTATTTGTTAAATTGAATATAATTATTTTAGTTCATCTTATTATTGAACTCAGGATGGAGTCATTCTCTGTAATTTTGTTAAATGATTATGCAGTTCAGATGTATGTAGTTTTTCTACACTGAAATTGCATTTCACTCAAGTTAGAATGGCAGTCATCAACAACAAATAATTAATGCTGGTGAGGAGACAGGGGGAAAGGAACACTTTCACCTTGTTGGTGGAGCTGCAAATTAGTAAAACCAGTATGGAAATAATTATGGGAGTTCCTCAAAAACCTAGGAATGGAACCACCATATGACTCAGCTATCTCACATTCTGATATTTAACAAAATGTACTAAAATCAGCATACTATAGCAATGAAAGCATACCCATGTTTATAGCAGCACGATTTAAAGTAGCCAAATTATGGAATCAACCTAGGTATCCATCAATAGATGAATGGATTAAAACATTCCTATGTACATGTGTGAATATACCACAGTGAATCTCAGCATCCTGTATATCCACAAGACTGGGATCCTAGGATATATTCTGTGCTTGTATAAACACATCAAAATAGATTCTACTGTCACATATAACCAAAAAGAACAAATAAAAGAAAGAAAAGAGAAAACATTTGGCATTTTTGCGGGGGGCAGATTTGCTAACTTCACTTAGCATCACTCCCATAATTATTTCCATACTGGTTTTACTAATTTGCAGCTCCACCAACAAAAGTTGATGGATAAATGCCTCTGTTCCCTTGCTCTTTGTTTACAGTATCTATAGGATGTTTGTTTGGTTTGCCTGAGTTCCCCAGTGGGACTAGGATCCAATGCCTCACAGTCATGCACCCACATTGGTTCTATTCTTTGCTTTGCCTCACTCTTCTTCTCTGCTATCATAATTTCCTGGATTATTAAGAAATTAAATGTCTTTTAGTATAATCTATGTCTTAGAGTCTTGTACTTTCTAAGGGGAATCTAAACCAAAACAAGCATTCTTATGTCAAAATTTATGATTTATTGATTTGTCAATTTTGGTGCAGTCCAATAGAAATACAATGCAAATCATACATATAATTTCAAGTGTCCTAGGGGCCACATGAAAAAAGTATAAAGAAATAAGTGAAATTGATTCAATAATAACAGTTTATTCAACTCATATAAAATATTGTCATTTTAATATATATAGCATATATTAATGAAATATTTTTTTTACTCAGCCTCTGAACTCCATTGTATACAATATCCTCACAGGGTAATACACTTATAGAACAAATCAGCTTGGACTAGTCACATTGTAGTGGTCATGTCGCTAGTGGCTACTGTGTTGGAAACAGGTGATCAGTTGTGTACCATTATTCCCCATATGTCAAAATTAAGCCATAGCTCTTGAATATATAGGAGGCTGTATGGTGACTCATATTTTCTACTGTTAAAAAAAATCTCCTTTGCCTTCTTTTCTTCTTTTAAACTGAATACAATCTCTATAAATATCTAGAATGATGGGCATTATTACCTTGTTTAGTCTGTGTCCACATATTTATGTTGTTTTAAGAATTAGCTCTAGAGATAGTCACTTTGAGTCTTACTACTTTTTACATGTTTGCATGCAAAATATAGCCAAAATGTTTAGCATCTCTGTGCTTGTGTGCTTTTCAGGCAGAGGGTACCAGACTTCAGCGAGAACTCCGAGGATATTTAGCAGCAATCAAAGGTAATGTGTATGTGTTGTTTACGGCATGTTACCAAGCTCAGGTTGTTCTTGGAATGTGTAAGAGACCGGATGGAGTGTTAATTACAAGACCATTTGSCTTTCTGGCAAGTACAGTACTTGAGCACAGGTGTTTCATTCCACCTACTTCCAAATTCCCATTGAAACAATAATCAGAATATACAAGGACAAAACATATCTGCCCTTATGCTGAAAACTAAGAATAAATGCCACCCACATGCCACAGATTTCTAGGAAGATTTGTTAGACAGTGAGCTTGAGCCCATATATAAGAATGACTGCAGCTGGCTTACATTCTAAGGGAAGGCAGGTTGCAAGAATGAACACTCACAGACTCACTGCCAAGCCCTCTTGATGGAAAGTACACAGAATGGCAATAGAGGTGGGGGAGGGTTATCAGGAAACATGGCCCTCATGTGTCTGTGGCTTGCACAAAGCAGATGCAGGTGCAGCCCTGCCAGTGTGCAACATGGGGAACAGAGAGGGACTGGCATTGGTTTCTAGCCTTTTCCAAGCAAGACAAAGAAATGAGGCCAATGGAGGAGGAAGAAGAGAGCACTGGGGAGATATATTTAACCTGTGCCTTGGGTTCCTCATTCATGAAGTACTCCATTTCTTTTCTCAACCCTCCAAAGCTCTAAAACTGGGATTCTATGGAACTGAGTTAAATGGCTTCTACTCTTTCTTTTATTATTATTGGTCTCTGGATAACATTCACCTCTGACTTAGTACAATTGTTTAGCTGGAGTTATTAGTTAGCTAATGCTATTTTTTACTATCTGAAAAGCAGGAGACAGGGTCAGGAGTGGCTTGCCAAGGAACATATTCTTCAGTGGACTCAGGAATAGGGGAGAGGTGATCATCAAGTGATGAAGTATGATAGACAATGAGGTGGATGTTGGAGGAACATTCCAAATAGCAGAAGGAGCCAAAGGACCAGAAGGCAAAAGAAAGCATGGACTCTTTGAGAACCAATAGATTAGTAGTGAAAGCAGAAGACTGTGCTGGTTGAGATGCGTAAAGGTGGCAGTATTTATATAAAGAAGTGCTTTATGTGTCATATCATCTTGGGGTTTTATTCTGTCAGTGTGGAGGGAAGTCATTAATAATTGTAGGCAAGGGAATAAGTCACATGATCAAATTAGAACTTCAGAAAAATAGTTCTTGAGATTGTATGGAATTCAGTTTAGAGGGAATGAAACTACAAGGAGATTATTAGAGTCCAATAGTTTAATCAACATGATAACAGCTAACATTTCCTTAGTACTCTTGTGCCAGACACCAAGATGTACTTTTTAAATGCCTCATTTCATATAATTCTTACCATAACATTATGGAACGTACTATTATTTATTGGCATTTTTATACTTTGGAAAACTGAGATTCAGGATGATTAATAGTTTGCTCAAAATCACACAGATGGCATGTGGTAGAACCAAGATTTTAACAAAGGCTGCTTGATTGCAAATAATAGTCTTGATTTTTATGCCATATTGGCTCCAAAAATATTTTTTATAATGGTGACTGACATTTGAATATTTACTGTGTGCCAAGTACTTTGCTAAACCCTTTTCATGGGTTAGATTTCATCTAATATAAATAATAGACAATGAGTACATAATACAGGGCAGATACAGTGAGCAGGGAAGGAAGGGGATGGATTTTAGCCATAGACATGATTGGTATGTCTTGGTGACACATTCATTTTGTGAGGATGACCTAGGATGACTTCTAGTACTCTAACTGGGAAAATTGGATGCCATTCATGAAGATGGGAAAAGGAAGAGGAACAGATGTAGATAGGAAAGTTAGGAGTATGTTTTTGAATAGTGAGGTTTGGGATATTAGTGAGACATTCACATGGTGATGTCCAGTAGGGATTTTTGAATTAGCATATGTGGCAGCATTGGAGACCAAACACATGGAGAAGAACACAGAAAACCTTTCTTTAAGTGGAGCATGGCCCAGATGTCATAATTAATATGTATTGGTTGCATGTGACTTTGCAGGCATGACGCAGGGGATAGGGTTGACGGTTCTTGAGCTACCCCACCATCTGCTTATTTTCTCTTCTTTTTCTCTTATACTTGCTTTTCTCTTTGCAGTTTTAAGAGAAAAACTTCCCTTCCTGCTTTCCTCTGAGGCAGCTGCTATCTTCCTAAATAGCTATCTTCTAAACAAGGGGCAAAGCTGCTAGATATTTGCCATCTTTCAGACATTCTTTTAATGGTTCATCATTGCTTGTGGTTAATGTCATAATATATTTAAACTGAGTTATTTTTAACTAGAACATATACCCTCAGGCTGTGCAAGCAAAGAATACTCATGTAGCACTGCAATATATGCAACCGATCTGAGAGGATGAAAATAGAAACTCACAAATTTGGCTGCAAATGAAAATAGAAGATGTTACATTAGATGCCTTTGGACAAGGTCCAAATGTTTGAATAGAGGGAAAAGTTCCATCCAATAGTAAAATATTAATTCTTCTACTTAGGATGTTGGGCAGGGGTTTGCAAGAAATCACTGATCTTTTAAGAAAATATTTGGTATTAGTATTTAGCATGTATTCTGTTTTCAGTTATTGAGTTGCTTTGAAGGAACTTGACTTTTAGTTTTTAGATATTTATTTCTCTATTATTTTGCATCAGCAGAGTAAGTTCTTGTCTTAGTCTGTCTCATGCTTCTGGGTAATGTACAAAGAATACAAATGTATTTGGCTCATTGGAGACTGGGAGGTCCAGATCAAGGGGCACCATCTGGTGAGGGCCTTCTTGTTGCATCACAGCATGGTGGAAGGCATCCCATGGGTAAAAGAGAATAAGATAGGGGGACAAATTCATTCTTTATAAGGATCCCACTTTCATAATAACAAACCCATTTCTTTGATAACAGTAGTAATCTATTTATTCATGAGGGCAAAGCTTCCACATCCCATTCAATTCTTAAATGTGCCACCTCTCAACACTGTTGCATTGGGCACCAACTTCCCAGCATATGAGCTTTGGAGGACACATTAATACCATAGCATTTCTCAGTTGCTGAAATATCAGCTGTCTACGTCCTCCTGGAAGTGAGGCTTGAGCTTGCTCCCTTGTGTGTCCATCAAAGTACTTTCTATGGAGTAGATATCCCAGAAACCATTTTCTAAGTCACAATGACTTCTATCCAAATTACCCGTCACTACTTATTTACACAGTGATGAGTAGTTATTTTTGACTTCTAACAGACCTATTTACTGAAACATTGTACTTACTTTCAGTCTTTATGATTCAAATCTTGGAGAATTTTATTTTGAGCTTACGTTAGTTTCATTTTTCACTACAAAGGTCATTTGTCCTCCAATGTTATCATTTTTATTTTTCCCCTTAAAACATTATTAAGAATCTGTCTATATAGCTATTTATAATTTCCATCAGACTCAAGACAAAGAGTTGAAGGAAATTGCATAAGCTGTTTGGCATCTGAATTGTAGAGAGGGAACAATTAATGATTAGCTTTTGGCATAAATTCAAGGGATACATTTCTTGATATAGATTTACCTTGGTGGGGGTGATTGTGGTACTTGGGATAATGTAGCTGTCATGTCAATGGTAACCCAGTCATGAGGGAAATTATTCTCACTTATTCACATTCACAGTGTAAAGGGATGGATGCAGGGTTTTGCATCATTGTTGGCTGTCTCTACTCCTACATGAGTTTCATCAGTCCCCAAACACTTCAGTCATCATTGGTTTTCCCTGCCTTCCCTCTGGAAGGGGTGGCCAGCTCACTTTAACTGTGTGGGCTGTACACCTAATTTTCAAGGGCATCCTTGATGATGCTTAATGATTTATATTCTTCATGGAGAGGAAAATGCAAGCAGTTGTACCTCATGTGACTCTGAAACACATTCAAACCTCTGGGTTTAAAGACCAAACATTTATCTATAGTTATCAGGGGGAGCCAAACAGGGGTCATTCTCTGTCTAGAGAATGAAATAGTATGATAAAGTACCAAATTGCATAGCAACTTTATCCATGTTCTTCAAGGATATACTACCATCATTTCAGACATCTTTTTATCTTAGAACTGAGCCCCGAATTTAGTACTGTCCAACAGCATGTAGTTCGGTTTTTAGTTTAATCAGTGGTTTCCATCTTTAATTCACTGAGGTTTGGTTTTCTTTCTTCTCCTTTTATCCAGCCCCTTTTCATACCCATGAGAGACAAAGGCCAAGACACCCACCTGGGCAGTTTCCACCTTCTAGCTACTAGATAGATTCTGAGCGGCTGCAAGCTCTGGCGGTTCTTGGTACCTTGTTCTGGTCTCTGCCATGAGTCATCTCCATGGTGACCCAGCACTAACCTCTGTGTTCTGAAGTGGGAATAAGGTTACTGGAAAAGACTTGGTGATGCTTTATATCACCATGTTACCCTCAAATTTTATATCTTTACTATTATTAATAGCCATGATTTTGCAACATGCCAGATTTGCCTTGAAGGAAAATTTAGACCTATAGGCTTAAGAACACTAAGCTTTCTGAGAGTTTTGATTTAAAATGGTACTCAGTGAAGTGGCATATTCTTGCAATTCCAGGTATTCAGGAGTCTGGGACAGGAGGATTGCAAATTCAAGGCTAGCCCCAGCAAGTTAATGAGACCCTCTCTTAAAATAAAATAAAAATGGCTGACAATGTAGCTCAGTGGTAGAGTGATTGCCTATATGCACAAGGCCAAGAGTTTGAGCCCCAAGATCACAAAAAACAAATTAAACCTGTATTCATGGTTTTAATAATAGTGAAGAAATGCAATCTCTTTTCTTTGTTCATTTAAAAACTTTTAAGTTTCTTCAACTTAAATTCTGAGCCATTTTTAACCACTTCAAGAAATTTTATTATTTTAAACCACAGAATTACCTTCAGTTGTTATGTCCTAAATTAGTGTTTATTTTGTTTTTATCTGCTTCTAAACATGCTTTGTTTCTCATACTTAAAGTTTTTTTTTAGGATTAACTTTATTTTCAGACCTCTGCAGTTTCATAGACCAATATGATTCTCACTGATCTATATATTTGTGATTGGATGCCATTTGTTGAGTGATAATAGGGCATATTATTATTATTATTATTTTATTTTTCAGAATAGGGCTGGGTGTTGATTTTTTTCAAAGATACAGTACATATCATCATGTAAATAACAGACAATGTACAATGTGATATATCTTAGAGGCCCTAAAGGAAAGATGTGACTGTGGCTGTATGTGGCAGGTTGCCTTCAAGGTTTTTCTTTAAATATTTAGCAATATTTTAAGATTTTTTTTCTCACTTAGAGAGGGAGGTAGAAGAGATTTCACATCCATTTTGAAGTAACAGGARTTGTTTTTCTCCAATATCAGGCATGCAAGAAGCCTCCATGAAGCTCACTGAGTCACTGCATGAAGTCTATGAGCCAGATTGGTATGGGCGGGAGGATGTGAAAATGGTTGGCGAGGTAAGATCTGGGGTGGCAGTGTGCAGGAGGTGGGGTGGTGTCCACGAGATTCCCACTGAATCCTGCTCATTCCAACTGCCCCTGCCCCCTCTCCTTCCTTCATGTCTTAATCTTAAAGGGAGAACAGGTTCCCAGAAAGTGACAGGCAGTTCTGCTATCTGGTTATCCCACACTCAAACGAGAGGCAAAGATGATTATAAAAACCACTTGAGTAGGGAGCTGTGAGTTAAAGATTATTTTTCTTCAAAATAACAGTAGCCATTTTTAATCTTATACTACAGGTACTAGCAACCCATTTCTCACAAAACTGGATAGTAATGTCACCCATTAGTTCCTAAATTTCTGCTGACAAACTCTCCCTGAATTAACAGGCAGCAGCTCTGAAGAGCATCCATTACATAATTAAAACCAGTTCTTTAGTGTTCTTGAGCTTTACTCTCCTCATCTACAGAATGAGAACAATCATTGTACCTACTCATAACTTTTGAGCCTTTGTGTTTATGTCCCCAGTTAGTGCTTAGTGCTTGTTTGGATCACTGAAGTGATAAAGCTGCCAGCCACAGGTTCTCTTGTCTCTAAGTCCTTTGTTAAAACAAAGAGCAGATGTCAGATAGCAGCTCCTTTAGGCACAAAAAACCTGAACCAGATGTCACAGTCAAAGCACCCTTGGAAACATGAATCAACAGAGGAGCTCCAGGTTGATATCCCAACATGGATCTTCATAGTCTCATTGGGACTGAGATAAAAACAGAGATTTATTTATTAGAAAAGCTATCATTGGTCCTATAACATATTTCAAAGACTTTCAGGATGTGGATTTGGTCAAAACATTTTCCACACATCATTTTCAAATGAAGTTATTATGTTATTGTATCTTCTTACATTTTTTCCCAGTATAAAGACACTGTTTCAACACTCTGTTGCTAAATGCTTAATTCATTGTAAGTTTCTAATTAATGCTGTGTTATTAAAAATTCAACACAAAAGAGAAAATTTTAAGGGAAGAACAGAAACTTGTATAAATATCTTTTCAGAACACTTTATCATTACAGTCTACATATGGCAAATGTTGGTTCCTTAAGAAAGTGGCTTCTATCTTAACCTCAGTCCTTGTGGCTGACAGAATCCTTGAATCCTTAGCTGCAGATGAAAATATGGGCTCTTTTGATGATGAAGGAACTGGGTATTTTGTATTCAGAGGATCTACTCATATGAAAATAAACCTTTTCTACAGTGGAGTTAAATTTTCTTGATTGCATAAAATTCTTGAATTGAGGATTATAACAATTAAGATTAGGGTTTGAAGTGTGAAAATGATACGAGAGCAAATTTTTAAAAGTGTTTTTTTTTTAACAAAATAGAAGCATCTCTCACATACAGGAATTTGGAGGTCAGATGACATAGAGGACTCAAAAGTATCAGAGGCTTGTCTTTGCTATCTTTACTCCTTCAGGTTCAAGAGGACCCTTTGTGCAGTGGACATTATCTCTCATTTCTGCATTCTATTTAGTAAGAATGAACTCTGGAATATGGGTCTAGCCCATACCCTTCTTTTGGGGACACTTCCTTACAGTACATAATTGGCCACTTTATCACATGGATACCCTTAGCTAAAGGAATCTGGGAATCAGAATCTTTATCCTAGGCAGGTGTGTGCACAACTGAAATCGGAGGTTCAATTATTAAGAAGAAAAAAAGGATAGACTGAAGAATAAGCAGCAGACCATGTCAGAGGAACCCAAATGTAGCAGTAGGAAAAATGTGGAGATAATATTTTTGTGCACCTGCTAGGTGCCTGGGATTCTAATAAGTATTTTATCTTGCCTACTCATTTAACTTGGGAAATTGAAATTCAGGAAGGTTCAGTTTCTTGAAGTTACTCAGCTGGGATATGAATCCTGCTCTGGTAAGGTAGCCTGGATTAATTGATAGTCATGAGCTTTGAATTCAAGGAGATAAAACTGGGTAGACACTTAGGTCTTTCTTTTATCCACTGTATGACCTTGGCCAAGTTAGTTAGCTTCTATGGATTTCAGTATTCTCTTCTATTCACTGGCAATGCCACATCTTTCCTCAGAAAACTATCATGAAAATTAAGTGTGTATCCCCACATAATCATAGGGTAATCATAGCAACAGTAGTAGTAATAAAAATAATAATATTCATTGTGTGATTATCACAGTTGATACTCCATAAATGGTAAGATTCTTCCCAGTAGACTGTAAATTTTATGATAGGTCTTTGAAAGCTTCAGCAATGGTTAATTGTTTCTGTCTGGGTTGATTTTTAATTTATTGAATTCCTTCAGAGAATTTAAGTGTCTCAGTAGAATTTTTCAATCTTTTAGCTCCACAGTCCATCTATAGGGATTTGGGAGCCCTTTGAAGATTCTATATTCTTTAGTCATTCAGAATCAGAAATACAGTTTTTAAAAATGAGCTGAGATCTTAGCCTGAATTGTTAATCACTTAATTAACAAATTGCCCTATTTTTCATATTCTTAAGTTATCAACACTATTTTTAGTATCTAATGTCTGGGAGACTATTATTTATATAATTTTACAGTTTCAAATGTTTTAGAATTTTAGTTTAGGGAAAGGCATCCAATTAAAATATTTCAGAAGGTATCAATTTTTCCTTTTCTTTTAGAAATGTGATGTGCTATGGGAAGACTTCCATCAAAAACTAGTGGATGGATCCTTGCTGACACTGGATACATACCTGGGCCAATTTCCTGACATAAAGGTATTTTAGTTTGTGTATATAAAGGGAAGAATTGAATGGTCTCATGTAGTTATTGAAAGATGGGCAAGATAAGGAGAATTAAAAGTCCTCAAGCTGACATCAAAGACAGGTGGTAACTTTTCATTTATTTAAGCATGGGATTTTTATTCTATTCCTATGATTTTGAAATGAAATCTGGTTACAGAAATTACATTGTCTGCTTTAGCTTTTCTTTCTTTCCAGAAGTCTTTTAAAGCCTGTAGATAAAAAAATATATATCCTAAATCAGAGGTACAAAAAATTCCAATCTTCTTTATATTCAAACTTTTTATTATGTAGCCTTGGATAAGTATGTCCATTAAATGAAACAGTAATGACACAGAAGGGAGAAACTTTATTGTAACCAGATGGCAAAATCTTATCTTTCCTGTTTGCTGGTTATTTTGCATGTGGCCATAGTGCAGCTGGGTAATTTTCTTCCCCTTGAAATGTTCAGGTTCAAAGTGAAATATTAATGTATAATTATTTTAAATACATTTGCATCTGTACCCCAAAATATTTTATCTAATACATTTATCTTATTTGACACTTGTGTAAAATAAAAAATAGACAAGTGTATATTCCAGATTTGGGTAAAATAGACAAAATAGACAAGTTTGGAACTGATACTGGAGGAGTAGATAATTTTTGAATCATTTGGGTAGCATTACACATATCCCAGCTTCTCATTTGTTTTCTGTGCTCAAGGTGAAGAGCCAGGTAAGGTAGTCATGTCCTATCTTTCTGGTAGGATGAGGAAGCCATGAATCAACATCAATGTGTGCATCTGTAGTATTTCATTAGGAGTCTTCTGATGCTATCTGGTTACAATGGAGTTTCTACCTTCTGTGTGATTACTGTAGACATGGTCAAACACTGGGAAACTACAAAAATGTGCACCAGCCTTGGCCAAGAGACATATGGAAACTTCTTAGCAACAAAACACTCATAGTGATGACTGAAGTTTTCCTGTTCCCACACTGTTCATCTAAAGGTAGTTGGCCAATATACAGAGAGCTTTTAGGATATAAGGGGCCTTGGACAACAACCTAAATGGATCAGTCTAGACACCTTTACTCTGTTGGCCAAAGGCCACAGAGACCCACATGATAGATTCTCACTAATGTTAGCATAACAGATAGAAAGTGTTAACAGTAATACAGTGAAAACCAGCTATACATACAATTTCTTATTTGAACTTTCTAAAACACTTTTGTTTTAAAAAATGCATGTTTGTGGGCTGGGGCTGTAACTCAGTGGTGGAGCACTTGCCTAGCATGTGTGAGGCACTGGGTTCTATCCTTAGCACCACATAAAAATCAACAGATAAAATAAAGGCATTCTGTACAAAAAATGCATGTTTCTAAACCACATTTAATGTACACATTATTATAAATGACATACCTTTTAAGGAAAGAATAAAATACACCTCAGTATTAAACAAAAACAAGAACAACAACAACAAAAAGAAAGTGCTTTCCTAGAATCTTCATTTTCCTTGACTCTCTGTGTTGGTGTCTGCATTAGACAAAACACAGACTGGCCTGTACTAAAGGCCCTTACCAGTGGGCTCACTCAGAGATTTTGGGAGGCCTTTTGAATTTTGTGCTAATCTAGCTCACTATTTTTGTTCTTAGCAACATCTGGGCATCTAGAGAATGCTGGGCCCCATTAATGTTCTGACACAAATGGGACTGAAACCAGTTCCACAAGAGTACCCTGAAATTTGGATCATTGGATGCTGATGTTTTCTTTCTCCAGGTAGAAAATGGATCTTGCATTGAGCTTGAAGAATGAGTTGCAGTGACTAGTTGTGTAGTAGATCAAACTGCCATCTTAGTACTCTCTGGTGCCCAGGTGGCTAGAGTATAGTTAGTATTCCAAGACAGAAGCCGGTCCTTTAAGAAGCTCCTGGAAAAATTGGTATTTGAGAAGTTAACTCTTTCCTTCCCCAGGTAAAAGCAGGGAGTTGAGGTTTATTGCCCACTTACTCTGGGCTGAGCTAGAGGAAGCAACTATTGCAAATGGCTGCAGGCTAGTTGAAACCATTCCAACCACTGCTTTGATTTGCACTATTTTAGAACGCGCAGGAACTTTTCAACTATTTTCTGGGTTTCACAGCAGGATTGATTCATGTGATGCTACTAAATTGGTGTATCCATGAGGGAAGAGAAGCCAGGTTATATCCTCCATCTTCTAGTAGCAATCGTATTAAATAACAATCTATCTCTAAAAAAATCAATACCCAATAAATCAGAAGAAGATAAGGAATACTGTATCCTCCTACCAGAAAACTCCAAAGCAGCTTGCTATTATTTAATAGATTTTATACATTCATAGCATGACCTGGCTTAGCAAAGGAATGTGTAATTGACTGGAGAAGATGACATTTGAAAGATTTTTGAGTTTCAGGAACAAAAACTTGGTATCATTAACAAATTGTAAAGATCTTAGTTGTTACAGTGCTACCCAGAGATAGTTATTTAAAAATTGGACCTACTCTGTAGGAGCTTATAATTTCAGAAGACAAATACACATAGAAGTATCTGTGGTGAAACATAGATTTTAAAAAAGCCATAATAGATTATATTAATTCAATCTTTCAGTTCACTTCATGTCAAAAAAGATAAAGAACTCAGAAGAACTTTTACTTTAAGCAATTCTTTTCTTGTAATCCGTGGTTGAATTCATAGAAAGATGACCCTCCAGTTGCTGACTCATCTAGAGAATCAGAAATAATATCATCTAGGTCTTTTGCCAGATACTCTGAGGGTAAATATACATCATGGTTTTACATGCATCATGGAAAGAGATGGAGTCAATTTCCCTCTAATCTCTCCCTTTCTCTTAAGCTACATTGAGAAGAGTAAAATTTACACCGAGGCTATTAACAAGATAGATATTTGGGGAACCATGTAACCCAACAAACAATCTAAGACATTGCAATGTATATCTAGGAAGAGATAATATGGAACTGGAGAGAGGACAGATAGCTGTATTTAATATTTGGAAGATTTTTCTTGTGTGAGAATTATTATTATTATTCTGCACACCATTAGTTGGTGAATAGAAGTAAGAAGTAGGTATAGACTGCGTCATTTTATAAAATGAGCCCCGAGTGATTATGTAATGAATGACTTATTAATGAACAGGAACATAACAGTTAAAAATACTGAGTGGAGAATTTTCAAAGCATGGAACTTAATTGACTTCCTTGATCTCATTAAAATCAACAGTCCATGTGCAGTTAAAACCTCAGGCAAATTTCCAAATATTTATTGCAACCTATCAGTGAGTGTTATGAAGTACCCATTCATGAGGGGATGATGTTTGATTTTTCCAGCTGTGATTGGCAGGGCACCCTGTGTTATGGTTCCCATTATGCAGCATTGACATCTAAAGTCAATGTTATAAAAAGACCCTGCTAGAAAGGCAATATGTCAATCAATGGAAGGGAAACTGATGTGATACAGCAATTTGTATACGGGGTAAAAGGGGGAGTTCATAATCCACGTGAATCAAACTGTGTAATATGATGTATTAAGAACTATGTAATGTTATGAACGACCAATAAAAAAAAAAAGAAAAAAAAAAAAAAGACCCTGCTTTTCACCAACCCAGGCAGGCTTACAGCTGTGAGCAGTTATCGTAAAATGTAGTTTAGATTCCATCTTGGCAGTTGTGCATGAGCAGCTAAGCAGATATTTAATGCAGGGTGCCCAATGATTTTTAAATTGGGATTATTATTGAATCTTAAAAAAATGTATAATAAGTTGTTTTCTTCACTGCCAAAATTCAGTGCACAACGGGAAATATCAAGAACTTTTATTTAAATTTATTATTTAAAGTAAGTTTAATATTAATTAAATTTACTTATTATTTAATTAAATTTATTACTGGATGGTTACATAAGAATTGTATCATGTTTCAAAGCTAATGTGTACAAATTCTACCCTCGCGAGATTTGTATTTTTCCCCCAAGTTTCCCAAATATCATATAGGAAAACAAATAGGATTGATCTATTTTTCTACCATGAAAACATTATGTGTCACAATGAGTGATGGCCTTTAAAATAGTCACTTCTACCCTGCTAAGTTATCCTCTGTAATTGACTTGTCAGTTACAAGAGAAAATGAGTCACATTATTTACTTCATTTCTTGTTCTGGAACAAAAATAAAACTACTCTTCCTCCTGATTCCCAGACTTAGAAGTAATTGAATTCCATCCCTTTCAAAATTTAGATTCATCTTCCAAAAGTCAAGATTTGCTACTTAGAAGACATTAAAGGTGTTCCCATGCCAGAAGGCAGGTTCCATAAAGCAGGGCTTTGTAGGAGTTGCTTATAGTCGCATGGGCCATTGCCTCTAGGGTCATGCCTCCTGTGAAGGTGACCATTAGATGTTTGTTCAAAATAATGATTTTTATCACCTTAACAGCACTCAGTGCCTTCTGTACCTTAATGAAGGACTTCACTGTGCCCTGCCTGGGCTATATCATGCATCTTTAAGCAACCCTGGCTATGCCACAAAGCTTTTCACTGACAACACCAGTTGGAAGTGGTAGGTGTGGGTAAAATAAAAGTGATTGAAAGTGGATCAACAAGATTAAATGTCCCAACCCACCTATCACCAGATATGAAGGGGCTGCAGAGGCACAGCAGAGTGACAGATGGTCATTGACTCAACCAGTCTGTCAGAGACATAGCAAGAGTGATTAGAAGGGCACTAACCACACTCAAGAGCAGGGTGGGGTCAGGTGAGGCAGGTGATGGTCCTAGAAATAGAAGACACTTAACCCTGAGAGTAAGTGGCCTTCTTAAAATTTGTGTTTTGTCTCACTTGTCTCACTCACCTTCTGGTGCTAGTTGTAGGTCTGATTTCTAATCTAATTCATCTTTTCCACAGATTTGTTGAACAATTCTGGACAAGTTAGGGAATCCTCTGATGCAAGTCCAAATTCTCTTTAAGTAAAATGGGGACAATCTCTGCCACATCTATATATAGGCTGCTGTGAGGATCCATGGGATGTGAAACATAAACATATGCATTATTGTTTTTGCTTCTTCCTAAAATTCTAATGGTTTTAAATGTGTATTCTCCATTAATAGTTCTTATTACTAGACTAGCCAGGCATAACTGGACCCCTGGGGAGAGTTTTTAAAAGGACAATTATCTAGGCCTGGTCTCAGATTAATAGACTCTTAGTCTGGGACTCAGGAATCAGAATATTTTATACTAATTGTCCATTAACTCTACCTGTTTATGTAACTTATTTTTTTAGTGGTTACTCTACCTTGCCATGTTTAACTTTATATATTTTATACCACTTCATGCCACATCTACGAACCTTACAATACATACTTCTAGTTCACCTGCCTCTTTGTGCTAATACTTGAATTTCTTTTTTCTTGCCTGGGAATTGAACCCAGGGACACTTAACTACTGAGCTACATCCGTAGCCATTTTTATTTTTTATTTTGAGACAAGGTCTTGCTAAATTGCTTTAGGGCCTTGCTAAGTTGCAGAGGCTGGCCTTGAACTTGCAATCCTCCTACTTTAGCCTCCAAAGCCTTATAGGAATGGGCCACATTCCTGTTTGTGCTACTATTTGAATACATTTTGTTTTACATGTGTTATGAACCCCACAATGCATTTTTTCTGTTTTTTACTCTGAATGACCAATGACCTATTCAAAAAATTATAAGAGAAGATAATATTATGTATTTATCTTGATTTTTAATCTTTCTGGTACCCATTTCATTGTGTATCTCCACTTAGGTTAAAATTCTCTTTCTTAAGATGATAGAATTTTTTTAAACAAAATACCTTTATTCTGTTTTTTTTTTTTTTTTAATGTAGTGCTGAGGATTGAACCCAGTGCCTAACATGTGCTAGGCAAGCACTCTACCACATGGCAATGGATTCTCTCCATTTTTGTTCATCTGAAAGTATTATTTATTTTACTTTCATCTTTGATATTTTTATTGGGTATTGAATTCTGTGTTGGTAGATATAATTTTATTTTTTTTATTTTTCAGTATTTTAAAGATGTTCCATTGTGTTCTACCTTTCATAGTTCCTGAAGATTAGCCTGCTGTAATTTTTACCTTTAAACTTTGTTTTTTGTTTGTTTATGATCCCTTTTGGAGGATTATCTGAGTTTCTTAGACCAGTACTTTGATGTCATTATTTTATAAAATTCTTAGCCAGTATCTCTTCAAATTTTTATTCTGACTCTTCCTCTCATCTCTTCAATCACATTATGTTGGATTACTTATATTGTATTATTGATCCTGTGTTCTCAGTTCCCTGTGGGCTTTTCCCTTTCAACTTTATTTTTTGTGTGTGTTTAGTGGGAATAATTTTTCTCCATACTTGCATCATTTCTTTGTTCAGCTATTTTGAGTCTAGCTATGGATTCATTGAAGAAATTTTCCTGATATCATTTTAACATTTTTCAAGCATTTACATTTGCCTGTTAAAGTTTCCATTTCTGGGCTGAAAATCTGTTTATGTATGTTGTCTACTTTTTCCAATTAGATATTTTAACATATCAGTCACAGTTATTTTAAAATTCCTGCTTGTTACTGTCAACATCTAGGTAATTTATGAGTCTAATTGTTTACTGTTTTATATATTTTCTTTTGTTTTATACTTTTCAATTGCATAGACATTACATTTAGGATAGTAAAGACTGAAGTAATATTTATGCCTGGAAACAGGCAAGTCCTTTTGTCAGTCTATTTGTGTGTGGCATGGAATCGATCTAATCAGGACCTGAATTGGACTTGGTTCTTGTTGTTTCTGTTGTTATTTTCAATACATTATGGCTTGCAGACTTTTCTAAAAGTTGACTGCTAATGCTGTGTGCTTATTTATATTCAAGATTTATGGCATTTTCACTCTAGTCAAAATCTGATTTTTACTTATTCTCTTACCCAAATATGTTGGGTCCTTGGGTGTAGAGGGTTTTTTTCCAGTGCTTTTGTTCTGTTCCCTATTGGAGTCAAGTTTTCCTTATATGTTTATACTATATTTTGTGTACTTGTCCTTCCTCCAATGGTTGGCAGCTATTGCTCATTTGGCCATTCCCCTTCCCCTTCCCCTTCTCCTTCTCCCAGGGACTGAACCCAGAGGTGCTCAACCACTGAGCTGGCTCCACAGCCATTTTAAATTTTGAGACAGGGTCTTCCTAAGTTGCTTAGGGTCTTGCTAAGTTGTTGAGGCTAACCTTAACTTGCAAACTTCCTGTCTCCGCTGCCCAAGACTGTGGGATCATAGGAGTGCACCATCTGTAATCCAAAGTAAAGCAGTTTGTCTCCTATTCATGCTTAGTCATGAGCTAGAGTCTCCCTTCCTTGCTCAAGTGGAGCAGACCATGTTTATTGTAGGAGTCGGGACTTGGGCTCAGGAAGTTTATTTTTTACTCTTGTGCATATAGTAATTATATTGGCCTATATAAAAAAGCCAGAGGTTTTCTATCCCTTTCTCTTGGCTAGGTTGACTTTGCCATTCTCATCCTTTCTTAGAAATAGAGGCCTTTGCCTGGCCTTTGGGTAGGAAGGTTTTGAATTCCCTCCTCTAGCAGCTTAAAGATTTTTCTTGGTAAGAGAAAATGGTCCTTGGAAATAAGCAGGGCTTATTCATTCTTACCTGAAGCTCAAGGAAATGTCTTGCCTCAATTTTCTCATAACATCCAATGGAAGCCTATGGGAACAAGCTTGCCCATTAAAGCGGTTTCCCTGTGTGTAGGACACCATATGTTCCAAAGTGCCACATCAGCTCAGGTGATTCTAATGAGTAAAGGATTGTGATATGCTTGTAGGAAAGAGGATTCCTTAGGAAGTAAATCTATTTTATAGAATTTCTTTTATGTTATGTATACTATTAAGATTATAACACCAAATCCAACATAGTTTTTCACTCTCTTCAAATGGGAACGTTTTAAGATTTAGAATAGAGGCTAATGGGAGCGTTTACCCGCTCCTCCTAACAATTCTGGAATTTTCTGGATCTTTGATAGCAACCCATGCCTTTAGCTCTTCACAGTTACCCTAGTTATTATCAGAAGGGGAGAAATTTACCTAATGGTCTCCACACAAAGGATGGGAGGCTGTAGCCTGATTTCCAGGGTTCTTTATCTACTGAAATTACCCCTCACCTTGATTTCCATTCAGAGTCCTCAGCTGCTCTGGACAAGGAAAGTATTTTGGTGTTTGGCAAAGGGAGACTATGACCATGTATCTTTTCTCAGTGCATATATTTCATTGTTGGCAGAATCGCATTGCCAAGCGCAGCAGAAAACTGGTGGACTATGACAGTGCCCGCCACCACCTAGAAGCACTGCAGAGCTCCAAAAGGAAGGATGAGAGCCGGATCTCTAAGGTAGGGATGAATTCCATGGTTAATATTACTATCCATGTCTTATGACTTGTAGTAGTTTTGCTTTAAACTTAAACATGGTGCTACAGGTTTCTTTTTGTTATTGTTTAATAAGTTTTTATGTTATTGTAGAGTTCATATGGGTAAGACAGACTCCCACATTCTGATCCCAATAAACTTTGTCCCCTTGCAAGTATCGCAAGATCAAAGACAGTGTGTCTACACTTCTTTCTATGGTATGATCTATGTAGATTCAGATGAGAAACCAAGCATGAAATATTCAGATGTAGCTCATGATTGAGAGTGCAGACATATGCTAAATTTCCACGACATTACTTTTCTTTTAGAAATCCATTTCAGTAGGTTTTATCATGTATGTCTATAATTTACAGATGGCAGCTACTGATGTCACCTATAGTTGACATTATAGACCACTGCCTTTGATTCCAGTCTTGCCTTTTCTCATCTGCCTACAGACAGCTTCCTGAATGGTCTTTCTACATAATTATATATGTTTCTCTACTGCCTATATCTTTTAATGATTCTCATTACCTGTAGGAAAAATTCTAAATCCCTTAGCATGGCATGCAAGACTTTCACAAATTGGTCACAAATTACCTGCCTGTCCTTATTGACTTTCAAGTCTTGCCCCATCCTCTTCTCCTTTCATGCACACACCATCAGCAGAGCCTGTGCAACCTACATGTCAGTTCCTTGGCAGCCATAATTTCAGTTGCCTTTATAGAGGCTTCACAGACACCATGCGCCCTGTTCAACACTTCACCTGCTTCACCTTTCCTTCATACCCACCACAGACATTAAGGTGCAGAAAGGTAAAGGAGTCTGACAAATTCTCATGTTCATTAAGCTAGATTACCATTCAATGGACCACCACCTTTATGTATTGTGATGTGTACCTGACCCACTTCTTTAGCAGATTCTGATTCTTAATATTCAGTTAAAATATCACCTTCTCTCTATGTAATGTTTTCTCTTCCCTGTAACACCATTCCTATAGAATGCCCCATAATGGATAATAAGTCCCTCTTGGAAATACACTGCATTGTTAAGGGTTCTCACTGGACTGGGACTATCTTGGGGGAGTATCCATGCCCACTATCTGGAGCAAAGCTGTTTACTAGACATGTAGTTTAGTTAAAAAGTTTTTGTAGAAAAATAAAACTACAATTTTAAAAAATTGAAAAATTGCAAAGAAATTTCAGGAGTAGCCATTGTAATCAATCCAGTTTCCTGTTTAATGAGTCTTGATATTCCATGTTTCATTTAAAAAAATGGTGTAGAATTTAGCCAAATGTCTCTTTTTTTCCAAAATCATTCCAGGATGCCATAAGGCTGTTCCTAGTTTATACTAAATGATTCTGTTCTGTATAGAAATGGCTTGTTTTTCTTTTTAAATGTAAACCATGTTATGTATAATTTCTAGGCAGAAGAGGAATTTCAAAAAGCACAGAAAGTGTTTGAGGAGTTTAATGTTGACTTACAAGAAGAGTTACCATCATTATGGTCAAGGTAAAAATGTTTCTGAACATGCTACACCTGCCCCTATTAGAAAATCAAGAACAGTAAATATCCCTTATGTTGTCCTTATTGTCTGTGCTGCTTCAGTACTATCCAGTGAAGTGTTCTATACATGCATAGTCTAGTATAGACATGTGGCTACTGAGCCCTTGGAATATGGCTAGTATGAATGAGGAACTGAATTTCAACTCAAATTTATTTTAATTTGCTTAAAAATTTGAATAACCAGATGTGTTTAGATGCTGATATATTGCATGACACTGTTTTAGACCTTGATGTATTTCTCCATTAGAGGTATTAGGGGAGCTTAAATGTTTCCCTTTTAGCTATTCAGGGAACTTCCTTGTTCTAAGAGCTTGTCTAATCTTCTGGCTTGATGCTAACCTCTGTACTTTCAGCCCTGACCTGTTAACATGGATTCTATTTCTGTTTCAGGCACTAAATATTCTTCTTATTTACTGGTGCTTTTCATTTATCATGACATAAAGTGCCTTTTCCATAGTTTGTTCTATTTTTCCTACTCTTTAGTAGAACCAACAGTTTGCTGGGTGAATTGAGGTCTCATGTTTCTCAGTTTCCATCAGTACCCTCATGATACCATCCCTAATAAACAGAATTGTGCTTGTATGACATATTGATTTAAGTCAAATCCTCTAGCTTTCCCCCACATGGTTGCCATAAAGAAAATGCGTTAGTCACTTTTTGCATCACTGTAATCAAAGTATCCAACAAGAACAACTTAGAGGAGGAAAAGTTTATTTTGGCATATTGTTCCAGAGGTTTAGTCCATCCTCAGCCGAGTCCCTTGCTCTGGGCCCAAGTGAGGCAGAACATCATGGCACAAATGTGGGACAGAAGTACACTGCTCCATTCAGGGCAGCTAGGAAACAGAGAGGAGTTTGGGGAAGGGCCACAGGGAAGATGAACCCTTCCAGGGCATATCCCCCTCCTCCAGCGATGCCCCACCTTCCTACAGTTACCACACAATCAGTTCATTCAAACTACAATGGATTGATTAGGTTACTGCTCTCATAATTCAATCATTTCACCTCCAAACATTTCTCATTAACACAGGGACTTTTATTGGGATACCTCTTATCCAACCATAACATCTTCCTATAGACAAAATTCTATTTAGGTAGAGCTTTCTACCTAACCTCCAAAACCATAGTTATTTTGATGATCTTGGTTGAACTTTGTCTATTTCCAGGGTCATCCTTAATGTTCTCAAATTTTGGCTGATAAAAGACAGTATTAGCTTTTGAACTACTGAAATAGCTAAATTAAATTATATCTACTTTACTGTAAACCTAGCCTATAGGAAATGTCTCCCTCAATATTCAGCCATTACTCAAAGTTAAACATATGCAATTATCTCATTGCTCATCTGAATTTACTCATTCTTTTAACATCATTTCTCTTTTTGGAACTGCCATTCCTGGGTTCCCCAGCCTCCAATATTTGAAGCTGTTAACTTTGGAAAATTAAATGGCAACCAAAGAATCAATCTATCATTTTTCATTGTACTTATTTTTTTCCTAACCGTATTGTTCAACTGTAAAATTGAAGTTAGCACTTCAAATCTTATGCGCCTCCTTGGTGAAATGCATAGGACACACAGTAATGAACATGTTTGAAATCTTGCATCCAGCTGTTCATACCCTTTAGAATGTTGGGTGGAATGTTCAGTATGTATCTGCTAGGTTCAGTTGAGATACAGTATTGTTCAAGTCCTGCATTTCCTTATTTATAGTCTGCCTAGTTGTTCTATTCATTACTAAAACTGAGGCATTAAGCTCTCCAAATATTATTTGGGCTATTTCTCTGTTTAATTCTATCTATTTTTGCTTCATGTATTTTGGGGCTATATTCTTAACTGTATATGTATTTATAATTGGTGCGTTTTCTTCATTGTTTTATCTATATGTCTATTTTTTCTCTAGTAATACATTTAATCTATTTTGGCAGATATTACTATAGCCTTGTGGTATCTGAGAGGACAGAATATTTTTTGTTATGGCGTTGTGGTAGGAGTGAAGTGCTACTATCCTTTTATAGCTCTTTGCTTGCTCTTTGCATGGTCTATCTTTTCCAGTCTTTTACTTTCAGCCTATTTGCATTTTTGAATATAAAATATGCCTCTTGTGAACAGTTGGATCGTTGGTGTGTGTGTGTGTGTGTGTGTGCGCGCGCTGTTACCCATTTTTCCCAACCTCTGCCTTTTGATTGGTGTACTTAGTCCATTTACCATTAATGTAGATACAGATAAAGTAGCATTTATGTCTTCCATTTTGATAACTGCTTTCTGGATGTCTTATGCCTTTTTTGTTCTTTTACTCCTCCATTATTGCCATGCAGGAAAAACTGTTTCAAAATTTTTGTCATGTAAAGGAGAAGAGAAATGAACTATGAGTTGGAGGGCAATATGGGTTCAGTTTCAAAAGAAAAAAAATACTAGAGTAGATTCGTATGTTTCAAAGGAGTTTATAATTCATAGGGGATGAAAGAGAAGTATTACAAAGAAAGGACTCCAAAAGTAATGATGAAGCTACATTTTCTTTTAAATGAATAAAGCCAGTGTTTGGTGGAAAGGGTATTCTAGATTGAAGAGGAACATTAACAAAGGCATGGGATTTAAGCATATCTGTGGGTTCATGGAACTTTAATTAGTTTAATATAGCATGAAATCAGAGTGAGACTATTCAGGAGGGGCTTGTGGTGAGAAAGCAGGAGAGAGGCAGAGGCCAGATTCAGTTGTCATTCATTCCTCAGATATTTATTGACCATCCAATATGTACCAAGTTCTCTTTTAAATACCACAGTTTCTACCCTGGAAGTTTTTTTTTTTTCTTAAAGCTTAATTTGAAGGATGGAGAAAGGCAATTACCAAGAAAAGAAATAAAAAACAATATATATATCAGGCAATAAGTTCAATGCAGAAAATAAAACAAGTTAATTTAATACAGAGTGACATAGTATGTAGTTTGATTGGGTAAGGAGGGCATCTCTCCAAGACAAAAGCAATATATAAAGAAAAGGAAGCTTTAAAAAAATGCTGAGTTTGAATAATCATTAGGAAGTCCAAAGGATATATTTATTAAGGTAAATCTGGAGCTCAAAAAGAGGATTGGGAGTCCAGATGGTAATGATGCTCTGAGAGTTGATCAAATAGATAGTAAGACAGATCATATGTCAAGGTGTCAAGGTGAGGGTCAAAGACAGAAACTTTGAGAGTACCGATGTGTAAGGGATGTGCAGAAGAGGAGATTGCAGAAAAACCTAACAAGAAATAATCAGAGAAGCACCAGGAGTTCTGAAGAGTGGTATCATAAAAAGGCAAGAAAGGAGAGAATATTTAAAATAGGTGCCAAGAATATCATATGTAGAGAGATTAAGCAGATGTATCACCTCTGGTGAACTTGTAGAGATGTTTCAGTGTCACCTCTGGTGAATTTCTAGTGTAGTTTCAGGAGCTAAATTACAGGCATTGGAGACTTTGTGAAGTGAGGAAGCAGTGACAATGAATCTTGACTACAATGGACAGGAGGATTAGTGATGGCAGATATCGAGAATTTGATGGGGCAAGGGAAACCTGTGAAAAGTAACTCTTATCATTTTGAGAAGATGGCAGTGGAAGTGGCAGAGGTGGGATGGTACTGAATATATGTGGGACACTAGGGGATAAGGATAAGAAGTGAGGGTGTTGATAGAACTAGCCTGAGAGCATTGGGGTCTATGCCACAGGGCAAAACTTGATAAAGCAGGAGTTGGACCTGAGCAGGGGCTAGAGCTGGCAGAAAATGAGCATTGATTTCACCAATGTTAACAGAAAGGTCAGCAGGTGGATGGAAATGAAGGCATGAGAAATCCCATGGGCTAGAAAATTAGGTGAGTAAGTGTGTCACTGGATTGCCCCATTTCAGAGGTGGAGCAGTTGGGAATGATGGCCAGAGCTAGGATGTGCCATGGTCGTGGCAGGATGGGTACTTGGGGTGTTGAGGTCATGAGCTGGGGCCTTGTGTTTAGGGTGAGCAGTCACCTGGATTTTGAGATCTGCTGTGTTAGTGTTAGGATTGGGTGAAGGAGAAAGTAGGAATCCATGACACCCATCCTTGTGCTCAGTGAGTGGATTGGAAGGGCGAGTTGGGAGGATGTCAGTGAGCTGTGAAGAGGTTTAGTACATAGATCATAAACTTCAGCAGCAGGGATATGAGGAGAGTTTGGAGAAAATGCCTCTTCCTCCCACTCCATCTCCATGGTAAATGGGAGAGCAGGGAAGGCTCCTTCCATTGAGGGGGTTCCAAGGAAGCCCTGATATCCACCTCTGGGAAAGGATGGTTTCTCTTTGGGCATCGTAGAGGGAGAGTGTTCTGGCTTGAAAACTGAGGCTGTGATAAGCTCAGCTGTCAATTCTTCCCACTGGATCCAAGGAAAAGGAAATATCTAATAAATAAATTAAGTCAATTTTGACAGCTAATCATAAGGGGCCTAGTGATGCTACAGAGAAGTTCTTTGGTGACCTGGTAGTGTCTCACAGTCCCTTGTTGATGAAGAACTTATGAAATAAGTCTTCCAAGCAGGTGATATTGAAATCCAGAGTCTGGTACACTTTGTGTATGTATATTTCACTGCTGGTGACACTAGTCTTTTATAGGCCAGACGTTTCAGTGAAACAGGTGCCAAGTTTATTATTTCTTGGATTTTTCATTCATTCATCCATCCATCCATCCATCCACCCATTCATCTGTGGATTATTCATTGCTATGTACCAGGTGCTGGGGCTCTGTTAGTGACCTAGTCAAAAACAATCCCTATTTTGAAAGAGTCTCTGATTTTATAAATTAGAGAAAATCACTATATGATAAACTACTTCACAAATATTGAATATAAATATAAGTAAATCATACTAGTTAATTTCTAAATTCTACAAAGAAATATTGTATTACAAAAACATAGATACTTGTTTAGTTATTCTAAATAAAGCATTTCTGTTGTTGTACCAATTATTTCTCTAAATAATAATTGATATAATAAGTTATACTGTATATTAGGAAACAAAATTTAAGCATAGAGGAGTAGGGATTTATATTTTGCTAAACATATCCACATTCCAACACTTAATAGAAAAGTCCTTGCGAATCAATGATTAAAAAGCTAGAAATATGAATAGGGGATTCACAAAAAGGAGAAATACAAATGGCCAATAGATAAAAAAAAGTGTTATCGTTAGTTATAGGAATATAAGTGCAAAAGTTGGTGAGATGTCAACTTTTAGGTAACAAATTTATAAAGGTTGCATACCATTGTATACCTTATATATAAGGTCATATTCAAAGTCAAGGGTGTAAATGGCCCAGCCTGGTGGGAATAGTTTGTCAGATCAAAATTCTGTTGTCCATTCCTTTCACCAGCATATACATGCAAGAAACATATTCCAAGAAAATTATAAAATTGTGCACAAAGTTTTAATCATAGGTATATATCAGGGCTTTGTTTATCACAATGGAAAAAAAAACCTGTGTTTTCTAGTCAACTTCAACAATATTCTCTCTCCCATTTGTACTTAACCTTTACTTAAATCTGACCCATCCTTTTGGGCAGCCTGTTTGACCTCTCCAGCAGTTGTTTTCAGCTTGCACAGGGCCTGTTACTCCCTCTCCTCTTGGTTCTTTTAGCTGTTTGCCATATCTACCTATTTTTTAACATATAGTTGGATTTTTGTGGTACTTAACTCTCATGTATGGTTTTGTAATTTCTGTCTTTCTCTTTAAATATAATTCCATTGTGTGAATAGAGTGTATGTCCATTAATAACCCCTCTGGGTGCTTCACCAACTGTACTGTAAGTTCATGAAGCCTCCTGAGCCTACCACTGTACATGCTCCCAGAACTGGATAAGTCCTTTGATGAGGGATTGAAGCGGGAAAGGTGTTAAGAACAGTCTTGGTTGATTAGAGTTCCAGGCTGGGTCATGGATTGCCAACTCAAAGTGCCCCAGGAAGATTTCTTTGCAAGAATACAATGAGTTATAAGGGTTAAAGGGGTTACCTTTGCTCAGTTTCCCACCAAACTGCCATGTTGGTCCTCAAATCCAGGTACAATCCCTCTTCTTTCCTCTATCTGAAACATGTTGGCCTGAAGTGGTGGCACATGTCTGTAATCCCAGCATCTTGAGAGGCTGAGGCAGGAAGATTGCAAATTCAAAGCTAGCCTCAGCAACTTAGCAAGGCTCTAAGTAACTTAATAAGACTCTGTCTCTAAAAAAAAAAAAAAAAAAAAAAAAGGAGCTGGGGGTGTGTCTTGTGTCTTGTAGCTTAGTGGTTAAGCACTCCTTGATTCACTCCCAGTAACAACAACAACAACAACAACAAAATGTCTGAAACATGTCTAAGCACTGCCCATGCCTGTAAATAAACATGTTTTATGGGTTGGCAAGGGCCAACCTAAGAACCTTCTATTTTACTAGACTGTCATTCTCCACCTCTGGTCTGACACTTCTGAGTACTTGACTATTTCCTGAACACACTGTGCCAGTATTTTCCTTATTAATGTATGCCTATATGTATTTGTATATGCACATATGTAAATATCTATAGTTGTGCTTGGTATCTGTGGGGAACGGGTTCCACGACCCTCTGCAGATATGAAAATCCACGTATACTCAAGTATGTTATATAAAATGGCATTGTTTGTATATTACCTACTTATTTCCTCCCATATATGTTAATTCATCTCTAGATTATGTATGATTCCTAATACAATTACAATTATATATATATATATATATATATATATATATATATATTATATTTTTTTAGGGAACAAAGAAACATCTGTATATATTCAGTGCAAGTGGGGTTTTTTTGTAATATTTTTTTATCTGTGGTTCAATCAGAGGTTGCAGAATCCATGGAATTAGAGAGCCAACTGTATATACTTACATATATGAATACGTCTGTGATTTGAAATAAATTAAAAGAAAAATATGAAATCAGGGTCACACAATGATTGTGGGTATAAGAAACTAAGATTAAGTAGGAATTTAAGGCACAGTATTAGTCACAAAAGAAGAAATTCTTCTGGTGGGATGGATTTACTACCCAATTATTATTTAGTTTCTGAATATCTAAATTGAACTTCAAGCTTTTATTCTAAACCATGTAATTTAAGCACAGGGTTTGATGGAATATAAAAATCCATGCTAAACAGCATTTCTTTTTTTTCAGTTTTTTTTATTGGTTGTTCAAAACATTACAAAGCTCTTGACATATCATATTTTTCTTGTCAAGCAGTTCATGTTTTTTTTTTATTGCATTTTCTTCCTTTTGTTTTCAAATACTGATTCCCCGCATACTAATGACATAACTTTGACCAGTTATTCTTTCTTTGCTAAGCTTAGTTTTCCTGGTCGATGGTGATCACTGCCTTGGGACATGCTTAGGAAAATTAAGTTAGGCAGCATATAAAATTACCTAGGTGGCAACGGTTTCTGTTGTCTCTGATCAGGAGGGAGCCTTCATCCTCCTCAGCTTATGGATATCCTACTCAAGCAAGGTGTGACTCAATCACAAGAGTTTCATTATTTTCTGTCCTTTTATCTCATTGTCTATGTAAGGTGGGTGCCTATTGTATATAGGCATATTTTATTACCCAGCTACATTATAAAATCTTTGACTATAACTTGGTCCACCATTAGATCTACCTATAGTTTTGGTACCAAAGTCCTTACTTGATTCAGAATTGAGATTTATAATCTAATTAAATAGTCAGGATACTGGGGTTCATTTTAAGAATGTCATTGAAACAAAAATGTAATAATTTTGTCAGATGTATTCAGTAGGATTGAATTAATTAATATAGGGTCCAGAGATTCCTTAGAGACAGAGGTATCCTGGGGGAATGGGGCTGAATCCACATCTGGCTGATACACTTACTGTTAGGGTCTTAAAAATGAGAACTGGGGGACTCAGATATTCCCCCAATGGCTTCCCTTCACAAACATATTTGAAACATTGCTGATGTGCAACTTGTGTTTTTATTTGCTCAATAATAGTATGCTCTTACTTTTGCTGAACAATTAGGATTAATTTATGGGTTTTGTTATTTCCCATTACACAGAGTTGGGAGTACAAATATATAATACTGATACTAGACCATTTCTATCTTTTTAATTTATTGTTTTTAGATATACATGACAGTAGAGTATTTTGTTTTGTTTTTGATACCAGGGATTGAACTCAGGGGCACTCTACCACTGAGCCACATCTCCAGCCCTATTTTGTGTTTTATTTAGAGATAGGGTTTCACTCAGTTGCTTAGTACCTTACCATTGAACTTGTGATCCTCCTGCCTCAGCCTCCTGAGCCACTGGGATTATAGGTGTGCACCACTGTGCCCTACTAATAGAGTATATTTTGACATATTATACATACATGGAGTACAATGCATTCCAAAACCATTTGTTTTATAAAAATGAAAAATAACCTCGATCTTGAAACTTTTAAAGATTTATACCTAAAATACAAACAAATTATCAGGATGGTGGTCCAAAAGTGTTGTCTCTGTATCAGAGACATGAGCATCTCCTAGAAACTTGTTGGAAGTGTACATTCTCAGTCTCCACCCCCTGCTGAATCAGAAGCAAGTGCTCCAAGTGTTTCTGATGCACACTGAAGTTTGAAAGCCACTGTCCTATGGTTGTAACTGAACTTCAGAGGAGGCCATGCTGGGTACCAAAAAGGTTTTTTTGTTTATTAACAGATGAGGTAAAGTTGGGTATACTTTAAGTATTTTCATTTCATCCAATGTTACTCAAAATAAGAACACCTGGTTTTCATATGTTTCATTGCCATTGTAAATCTGATTTTGCTAACTACTCTCTCCTTCTCTTATCTTTCTTTGTATTTCCACATGGTAGACGAGTTGGATTTTATGTTAATACTTTCAAAAATGTCTCCAGCCTTGAGGCCAAGTTTCACAAGGAAATTGCAGTGGTGAGTAATGATAATTATTTTTACAAATGGAATGCAAAGTAAAGGGAGAGTTTCCTGTGGCAGTGTGTTATTACTCTGTAATGTTTGCAGTTGTTTGTAGTGACCACATAGTTCTTTACACTTTTGAAGGATTTCTTACAGCCTCACAATCTCTTTTTCTTTTTCGGTCAGCTTATGAAGTTGGAATGTCAAGTGCTACTTTAAGATGATGAAAAATGGGTCTCAAAATATTCAGAGAGCAGTTCTATTCTTGATTGATATTTTCGTAGCCCAAAGGGTAGTTATGTGATTATTTCTAGTAGAATAAGTTTAAATAGTAAGCTTTTGTTATCTGCTCTGTAAAATGATGAGAAAGTATGTTTTGATATTTTAAATCTATTTATGTTTAGTTCGTTTGAGTTTTGATGTGGATTTTAAAGTGGAGATATAGGCAGAATTTCAGTGGTCCTGAGACCACCCTAACTCTCATAAGATTCTTAGTTTCTCAATAGATAATGTTTTTCCCCTGGGAAAATATCCTGGGTTTGCACGAGGATAATGTTCAGCTAATAGACAAGTGGCCTCTGTCCCCTTAGCTCTGCCACAAACTGTATGAAGTGATGACAAAATTGGGTGACCAGCACGCTGACAAGGCCTTCACCATCCAAGGAGCTCCCAGGTAGGCCAGAGCTGAGTTCTTGTCTGTACCTTCATCATGCTACTTGTTGAAATTTCTGCCGTCTGTAGACCAGCATGTTATAAGAGTCTGAAAGGAGCCTTGTCATGAAGAGGCTAATACTCACCTAATTTCTGTGCTTTTACACTTACTTCTGGTCTTTGGCTGCCCCATGAGGGTTCTTATTGTCACAGAAGACAATCACTAGCTGCCTCTCCACTTAATATAGGCCCTGAAAGCAATTGAAATAAATAAATAATCTACTTGCCCACTCATTACTTTTTCTGGAAGAGAAAGGAATTGTCCAAACTCCTGACACCTACTATTGATTCTTATCATTGGCACTGACATCTATGATGAATGCATTTTGGGAAAAGAAAGAAGTAGGCGAGGCTTCATCTTTTCATACTCTGCTGTGACTGATCTGGAAAACACTGTTCTGTTATTTCATTGCACATAGTTATTGTTTATATGCCAGGTTTGGCCTCACATTAACTCTCTGCTGTTATTTTTTTTAATTGATTTTATTTTTTTAAATATACAACAGCAGAATGCACTACAATTCTTATTACACATATAGAGCATAACTTTTCATGTCTTTGTATATAAAGTATGTTCACACTAATTCATGTATTTATACATGTACTTTGTGTTTTTTTGCATTACAATTCTTATTACACTTATATACCACAATTTTTCATATCTCTGTTAGTATATAAAGTTTGTTGACACCCGATTTGTGTCTTTAAACGTGTACTGTTGATAATGATGTCCATCACATTCCACCATTCTTGCTAATCCCCTGCTTCCTCCTTTCCCTCCCACCCCTCTGCTCTATCTAGAGTTCATCTATTCCTCCCATGCTCCCCCTCCCTACCCCACTATGAGTCAGCCTCCTTATATCAGAGAAAGCATTCACATTTATTTTTTGGGGATTGGCTAACTTCACTTAGCATTATCTTCTCCAGTGCCATCCATTGACATGCAGATGCCATGATTTTATTCTCTTTTATTGCTGAGTAAAATTCCATTGTGTATATATACCACATTTTTTTTTTATCCATTCATCCACTGAAGGGCATCTAGGTTGGCTCCACAGTTTAGCTATTGTGAATTGTGCTGCTATAAGCATTGATGTGGCTGTGTCCCAGTAATATGCTGTTTTTAAGTCCTTTGGGTATAGTCTGAGGAGAGGGATAGCTGGGTTAAATGGGGGCTCTATTCCCAGATTTCCAAGGAATCTCCATACTGCTTTCCATATTGACTGCACCAATTTGCAGTCCCACCAGCAATGTATGCGAGTTCCTTTTTTTCATCCTTCTCAGGCACTGGCTACTCAGAGAATGCAGATTARCAAGTCTTAGACTAGAAGTCTGAAGATCCTGCTTTTAGTTTTATGATTCTGCTGTTATCTTGCTTTGCTTTCTTTGAGTAAATCCAGTAAACTCTCAGCCTAAATATTTCATTTATTTTAAAATCATTAGACAAAATATGATACCACTGACTGCAATAGTTTTAAAAGTAAAATACAGTCCTGACATTCTGTGTTTGCAATTTTAATATCAATCAATGCAAACAATCATACAGTTGCATTTTTGGAAATACACATAGTCATACACAAACATCTACATATGCCAGTGTCTGGATTCCTCTGGAGATAACTAGTTTTCTCATTTTCTATTCTTGAATTCAAAATTTTGGTGCCTGCTAAAGCTGCTATCCCAAGTTCTCTAAGGGAAAGAACATTGCCTTGAAAAGGGCAGAGTTAATGTTTCAATATGGTGATTACAATATTGGATTAAAAACAAAGGAAGAATTAGAACAGGAATATCAAAATGACTTTTGGATATTTTAAAATGAAGTATATTAAAAATAATTAAGGCTTGCTTCCTTAAATGGAAATGAGAGAAACAATTCATGGAAAATTTCAGTGCTCCTGAATCAGATAAAGTAAGGAGAAAGTGGGGTCGTGACCACTTAACAAATGTTCCTTTCATTTTTTTCCAACATTCCTCTACAGAATGAGGTGGTGAGTGAACTCGGTGGAATCTCTTTGGAGCCTAGACTGGGGCTGTGTTTCCCATCAGAAGCCATGATTGTTGGCAGGTGGCCCCAATCATGTGGCATGTCTATTCTCTAAAGGCCCTTAAATATGTAGACCATGCTGCTGTGTTTGTGCTTGTTAATTTTAGGGTACAGATTCTGTTCCTTCTAGCTGTAGACTTTAGAAATTCTTAGAGTAAGATGTGTCCCAAGTGTTATCTTCTTCATTGCATTTAGCTGTTTCTAAGCATCTGGCTTGGTTCCAGGAACATGGTGGGTTCTCAACAAACATCACTGAATCTTGCCCATCACATGGTTTGTTTGCACATTTCAAGATGTCTGAGTTGAGGCACTGTTTTATAAAGTATAGAGAAAAATAGTTACTGAATTTATTTCCAAATATTATCAGAAAGCACACTTCTACAAAAGATTTATTAATATTCTCCTAAGGTACTTTTGAATATGAAATTTATCATTTTATGAGTGGTTATTTTTATAGATTTTGATATGTCAAAATTCTTTTGGAGGTATAAAGTGAAACTGGTTAAATTAACTCAGCTGATGTTTGGAAGAATCTTTAGTCTGTTTAGTATAGTGAGAAGAACAAGAGGTTTACATTACTAAGACCTAAATTCAGAATCACTATATTGCTGAGAGCTTTTAGGTTATTTTTTCCCAACCTTCTGCACCCCACTTTCCATATCTATAAAGTGGGGACAATAGCACATAGCTGTTTTGAAGATAATAAATAATATATGCATTGGGTCTGGCTAAGAGTGGACAGTTAATGGTACCAGTTATCACCATTCTGTTACTAATAACCAGAATAACCCTGAAAGTAGGGAGTAGGGTACCAGTACCTGTTAAGTTTCAGGAGTTCCCTGGCATGGAGAATCTCTGATCAAATGAGACCTGTTTCTCAGAAGGCCCCTTGCTGAATCCCCTATGTTCATCCAGTGATTCAGGTCCTCTCCGCATTGCAAAGACACCTTCACCACCGGAGGAGGCTTCACCCTTGCCAAGCCCCACAGCCAGTCCCAATCATACACTAGCGCCTGCGTCCCCTGCACCAGTACGGCCCAGGTCGCCTTCACAGGTAGGAGATCACACACACTGGGGGGATAAAACTCATGTGAGGTGACTTCATGGCCCATTCTCTGGTGCTGGGCCATTAAGAGATGTTTCCAACTAGGAAAACTGAGCTGTGAGGCAGTAGGCATTGTAATTACCAATGAGAAATCCAGTTCTCTTATTTGACTTTTATATTTCTTCCCATGCTTTATGTTTGAACCTCTTGAGACTTCTTGCCACATTCTCATCTTCCTCAGGCTAGCTTGTGCGTTTCTTCTATCCTATCTTGCTCTCAGAAGCCTACCACTCATGGGCTAGGGATGTGGCTTAGTGGTAGAACACTTGCCCAGCATGCATGAGGACTTGAGGTTGAGACCAAGCACTGCTAAAAAGAAAAGGAAAAAAAATATAAGAATTATTATTTTTTTTCCCAAAGGTTCATTTAGTCTCACCTTCCCCATTCTTTTTAATGCTTTAGGTTGTACTTGGGGCAAGTACTGCCAAGAAAAGCAGTTAAGTTTATGTATCATTTCACATTTTTGTATTACTCACAGTTTATTGTGCATAAGTAGCCACTCAATAAAACTGTGTGGACCAAATGATTGAAAGAAACAGTAAGGGCTAGGTGAAAGTAACCAAACAGGACAATTCCCATCTTTATTTTTTCTACTTTGGGTGAAAATAAAAGGCCTGTAGGAAAATTTGAATTCCCAGCCCAGTTCAAGTATTCATGAATATGGTTAAAACCAAGGAAAGTCATAAGAAGATATATACAACCCATCTTCAGTTCTTATTTCAAAATCCTGGAGCATACATTGAAATGGAAACTGCCTATGGTTGATCTCACTGATTCTAATAAAAAGCTTGCTTGGTTTTAGTTTTGAAACTCTAAGTTATTGCTGAAATGAGAAATAATTTTCAGTTTAGATCACAGAAGATGTTGGCTTAGTTTAAACCTTGAGGGCCCTGTATCCCTGCATGGAGTGTTTGTGTTGAGATGAACAGACTCTCATAGCCTGGGTTTTTCTTACTGGACCATAGTTTGTCAGTGCCCAGAGAGCCATCAGAGACATCTTGCATTCTTCACTTCAATTAGTTAGGCCTATATCTATATCCAGGTCCAAGTTTCCATTTGAGATCGGTTTGTCCATCGAGTTCTGTTCGTGTGACATTTCTGCCTGTCTTGCTTGTCCTATTTGGCTGCTTTAATGTTTATATTCAATGTTTCTAGACAAGAAAAGGACCTCCTGTCCCACCTCTGCCTAAAGTCACCCCAACAAAGGATCTGCAGCAGGAGAACATCATCAACTTCTTTGAGGACAACTTTGTTCCAGAAATCAGTGTGACAACACCTTCCCAGGTGAGTGCCTATACAGAACTGGCATGCCCATGAAAGTATCATGGTGGAGGGACTCTCAGAGGTCAGCTCTAGAACAAGTGGCAGACAATATAATCAGCAATATGAATTTACTTGTCATGTTGGTTTGTTTTAATTACTTTGTATGTCTAAAGCTTTCTTATAAGGGAAATGTACAGTATATGAATGTTCTCATTTTTTATACTAAGAACATTGTACTTATTATAGAAAATTAGAAAAATATTGAAAAAACAGGAAGAATTTTCATAATCACTAAAATCATGTCACTGTGATATATCCACTAATGTACTTTGGACCATTTTAGTCTTTCCTCCACCCTGAGTATTGTATTGTTATATAATCTTGATTGCTACTTATATATATTGAGCATGATTTTATGTCACAATAATGTCTTTGCAGAAATTTATTTAAGCCTACTATTCTGTCATTGGATATACCAACCCCTAATTGTTGGCCACAGGTGGCTTCCAATTTTTCTATTACTTACCCAGCATTTCAGTGAATATCTGTATATAAACTAATTTATATTTGCGTCTTCTATTATTTCTTTTATAATGACTCCTTGTAGAGAATAGGAAAATAAAATTAGAAGACTGAATAATTTTAAGTCTTCTGCCATTCAGCTTCTATCATTTCTATGACTCAGCAAATGGGAATATTAGGGTTCACACTGTTTGGAAAGATGCCTGGGTACACATGTCCCGAGTATAGCTATCTGAAGACCTGTCCCTACTATATTTACATTTTGTTAGAGGTACTAACAATAATACTGTAATTGTCAAGTACATCAATAATAACGTTATGTTTAATATCCCAGTTTTAGTCACCTCTCAGGTATAGTAGCAATAACAAGAAGGGCAGAAAGTTGAACTCAGGAGTGATGCAGTAGAAAAATCATTATTTGTTATCCCTTTTGAGGCATTTGTCAATGGGTGCATTGGTTTCTGAGATGTGGTTTCCTTCTTAGGTTGTTTTTACAGGATGCTGAATTTGATGAGCTAACTAGAGTTTGCAGTGTGGTTTAGCAGCTCCTTTGAGAGGGGGAATTGTATGTTGACTGATGCATGGGCAAATTCTATCTGTAGATACACAGATGCCTCCAGGGATGGCTATGCTAGGGCACATGATCTTACCCAGCTCTTGCCATTTGCTCTGACACCAAGCTTTAGCAGCAATGATTTCTAAGTTGTACTGTCCCCTTTTCTTTGCTATTCTTCTCTTTTGCTACATGATTTTCACATTGAGAATGCTTTAGGGGAATTATGCTCTTACCCAGGTACTTTTACTTGGACCCTCCAGGAGCATCCTCTCAATTTCATCATTAGTAGAGATGGTGGTCCTCTTGAAGCCTGTGTACTCAGTAATGACATCTGCATTTAGAAGATGAGGCAACTGAAGTGGCAAGAACATGACACATAGACTAGTTCTGAAGTGACAATGAGGTTCAGAGTGTTCTTTCTTTTTAAATGTTTTTTATTTGAGGTTTACAGGCACCTAGATAAGGACCCTTGATGGTGGGAGAAAAAAAAAAACTCAAAGCACTTTTGAAAATTACAAATGCCTAGAGAGGTTCCTAAGTACTTCTGGGAACATTAACTTTTGCTTTTATTGCTGCATGACAGTGACAGAAGAAGTTAAGGAGTTGGGGAAGGGAGAGGAAGTATCTTTCCAAATGGAAACATCCATTCTCCAGCTACTGCTCCTATCAGGGCACAAATCACTGGTGAAACCGCCCCCTCTGAGCTTTGCTAGCACTGTGTGACAGACCCCAGGACACCTCTCTACCAGCACTGGTTGCTGGTTGCTGACCAAATTTGAAAAAAAAAAAAAAAAAAAAAACAACTTCCAGAGACATTGTTATGGGGTTGCATTTGAGGATTCTACATTTGAGTGTTGATACATTTTCTTTAAATATGGGAAGGAGATATAAGGAGACAGAAAGGGTTTTCTGTCGTTTTTTCTGAATCTGCAAAGAAACTTAGCTCCAGCAGTTGGACCCCGGACTACAACGTGAAGTGTTTCCATTGACTAAATGACACTCATCTCATGTCAAGATGTAAAGAGAGGAAGCGAAGCAGGATTTGTATTTCAGTCTCCTTTCTGGCTTATTTAGTGAGATAATCTAGCTTTATTTAAGAATATGCCGACCCTGTCTTTTCCTGAGTGTTTTAACAATCTCCTTAGTTGGCTTGTTCATCTATAGCTATAAATAGCCATTTTATGTTGTTTAAGCCAATCCAGCAGACTTCCTGATTCATCAGGTCTGGAGTGGGGACAGGAGCTTACATTTTTAACAAGCTTTCTATTGGTGCTGATGCCGCTGGTCTTGAGACCCCACTGTGGGAACCACAGTGGTTTCAGGTAATCAGGATTTCTCATGGTACAAATCTGTGGTAGAATTTCCTCATTCACAGACTATCACAGTGAATTAACAGATTTCTTCCAACTAAGCCAAGGGTACATTTGATTGTCCATTTATATCTATAATATTAAAACATAGTATGACTAAAAATGTTCCTTATTTAGGACTGTTGGATACATCAATGTGCTTACACTATTAGATGTGTTGATCACACTATATGCCAAGCTACATGTTATAAGTGAATGGATTGCATTATCTTGATATAATGTGTCTGGCAGTATATTGATGAATGGGTAAAAGGGAATAAATAGCAATCAATGTGTGGAGAACATGAGTTGCTGACCACAAAGAAGTACCAAGAACTAGAAAGCTGAGAGGTATCTGAAAAGGGTTACCCAGATAACATTCATATTCAATGATCCCTTTAAGTTTTATTTTAATATTAATTTTTTCTAATTGAATTGCCCTACATTTAGAAGATGAGTTTATATCTCCAGTTTGCTATTTTTATCAAGAATTTAATGGAGAAAAAAAAGTATTTGTGTTAATCCTGCTGTTTGCTCCAAATGTAATGGTTGAAGTGCACCCAGTCTGGGTATAGCTCACTCTAAGTGTCAGAGTGTCATCTTCACACCACCCAGTGTCATCACATAGTGATTCTCTCAGTGTGTCCTGGTATTGAAAATAGAGATCTATCAGGCCTACTGAGCCCTCTAATGGCCCACACCTTAACTATATCATGGGATTTTTCTCTAGGAAAAGTCTTTACTGACTCATAAGGAGATGCCTGGTTGTCAGACCAAAAAGCTTATCTTGCATTTCTGGTTCATTGTTTATAAAAATAGACCTTTCGGAGAACCAACTTATCCTGCCCTCTTTTTCCCTCCCAGAAACATAAATAGAAAAAGTCTTCTATATGTGGTTCCAGCATTATTCTTCTAAAATAACACTTTTAAAAAATGTGTTCTTGAGGAACACTGATCTCATTGGATGCTGTGAAAAGGAGGTGCTGAAAGGGAGGGGCTGCATCCATGTTTGCTTTTTCGTAGTGCATGTCAGCATGTTCAAGACTCTGGGAAGTTCTGCAACAAAAGAAGCTCCATTTAACTTCATTTAAGTCAGAGTTTCTCAAACAATCTCCCTGCCCCCCATCCAAAATACCTTGCTCCTGAGAAATAAATGTTTGGTGAAATATTTTAGGAAATGAAAATTTAAAAGATCTTGTGTCCCTGGAAACCAAATCTATGGATACAAACAAGATTTTTTAACAGGATATTTGTAAAAAATAAAGCAATCATGTACACAAAATGCAAGATTTTCTCTTTTTTCTTCAAAAAATGTTTGAATTACATTTTATTCCAGCTTGATGACTTGCCTTTCAATTGAATGTGTTCTCCCCTCTCTCCAAGGACTTTCTAAAGGATTGTGGTCCTGAGCAAGTATTTTTTCCATATTAATAATTTGAGTCATTTGAAATGAGCATATCATTAACATTTTCATACCTAGTCTAATGGGATTCCATAAGTAAAATGCTATCCAGCCTGGGGGAGCAGTCTACTCACCAATCATCCTCCTGAAAACAGACCTGGCCCCCATGCTCTGGGACAAGCCCAAAAATATGAGCCCAGAATTCCTGGGGCTTATGATCAAATCTATATATGGAATAGGTTTGGACAGTACTCCAAAAGGAGATATGTAAATCCTGTCCAATGCAGGTCTTGATGCAGACTTGTGTGGTCCTGACCAGACAGGATTGACAGCCACAACTGGTCTCAACTACCAGAGAAGGACTTAGAAAATTTTAAGAAATATGCTTAAAAGCATTGGTTCTCTCAGATGCAGGTGAGTCTCTCGAAGTCTAGGAGTACCTTTTTCTGTACAGTGGCAGAGAGGAAGAAGAAATGTCTGTTTTAGAATAATTTTTCCATAGCAGAAAACCCCAGAAATTTTTCCTAATTTTTTTCCCCAGTAATAATGTTGCATATCTTTTCTCTTTGATATGGTTTTCCCTTTTACAAATCCAGAGGGATTATCCTTTGAGCATTCAAGCTTATTCTTCCAAGCCTGCTCATGGCTCCTGTGGAGATGTCTGTTATGCTGTCAGACAAGACATGAGCATAGTCTTTCAGCCCTGTGAGTGTTGAGACCAATTTAATACCATTTATTTTCCACACATATCTCTGTTTTACAGCCCAGTACTGCATCTTTCCTTTTAAGTTTATAAAATCATCCAATTTTTCCTAGCCAATTAAATTGAAATAGGTTTTCAACTTGCAAAATCAGTGCATGAAATGGCCTCCTTTTTCTCTGCAATCCTGATGAAGCCTGCTTGTAATTATGGACATACACATCACTCACTTGCTGGGTGTCTGCAACCTTGTTTTAAGTAGTACATTGGCTTCTCTTTTCAATGTAGGATACTTTTGGACCAGTTGCTTCTTCTTTTACTTGCTGTTTTTCAAAATAAGCATGTTAACATTATTTTATGACACAAAGAATTATTAAGATGGAATTTGTAAGGGAGAAAAATTGCAGTGTGCATCGAGCCCAAATTTAGTCAGTTTATCACCCTGGTGGATCATCAATATCATTACTCCATTCCTTGAACAGACATAACTAA